CTGCGAGGGGTGGGGCATGAGGGGGGGGGAGGGCGGCAGGTCCAGAGGCGGGGGCAGCGGGACCTGCGGGGGAGCAGAGGGTGGAGGTGGTGGGGGAGGAGGAGGGGGCGGAGGAGTGGGGGGTGGAGCTTGCAGAGGGGTAGAAACCGCGTTAGGGATTTTTACAGGCCCCATAGAAGGCGGCTGCGGAGGAGCTGGAGGCAGGGGAGGAGGAGGAGGCGGTGGAGGCGGCGTTTCTGGGGAAGACGGAGAAATTGGGTAAAGCTTGTCATAGGCCTCCCTGTACTGACGAGCAAATTTTTCTAGCGCTCCGTATGGAAAAAACTGCCCGTGTACATGTTCTTGGTGACTCTTCAAAATAAGAACATTGGAAAACAATTTCCCACACGTTCCGCACTCCAGTTTGTCAGTGTTTTCGCCTTCACCGCTTTTGCCTTTCTTCTGTACCTTCTGCCTGTTTTCGTTATACTGAATGACCAGTTCAAAACCAAAATTTTCCAATAAAGCTTTGGCTGCATTTCCTCTGGCTCCTGAAGCTATGCGGGGTGGCGGGATGGATGGTTCCAAAGATTTTTGTTTCTTTATGTCTTTGCCTTCTTTGAGTCCTTCACCGTCACTTACAAATTCTTGCTTTGGTTTTTCCTGCTTTTCAGCAATCTCTTCTGCCTCCTTGTAAGATGGAATATCCTTCACGATCTGGCAGTCTGTATTTGCTATGACAGGTTGCTCTTGTTTCAATACTTTGCTCGCCTGTTGTTGCTGCGGCTGCTGCGGCGGTTGCTGCTGCTGCTGCTGTTTTTGAGGCTGCAGCTGAGGCTGCGCAGCTTGGTATTGTTGTGCTTGTTGCTGCAGTATTTGGAGTTGACTTTGGCCAACGTGGTGTTGGGTTTGAATCTGCTGCTTCAGGTCTTCAAGCAGGGAGCCCGCCATTCCTGTCATGCCAGGCATACCAAACGTGGCAGAGCCTGGCAAGCCCAAGTCTGGCCCCAAGCTAAATTCCGTCCCAGGTATGTAGAATGGAAAGAGAAACTGAGGCTGCTGAAACTGCAGCAGTGCTTCTGGGGTCATAGGAAAATGTGGCAGAAAGGCTGGGTTTAGAAACTGAGGCTGAAAGAATGCAGCTTGCTGTTGTAACTCATGCTGTAGTTGCATCTGGATTTGTGCTGGTGACTGTGGTGGGTGATGTGGAGGCTGGGCAGAGATTAATTCAGGAGTTTGCTTTTTATTTAATTCTTTGGCATCCAAGTGGGTATCTTTGTTGACTGCTGCTAAACTCATGGAATCTAACATCCCTTGGCCAGGGCTGTTAACATTTGCTGCAATGCTGTGCCCACTTGCCATGTGACCACTTGGCTCCAGCTTTGCAGCCCTGGCCTTTGTCTGGTGGAGCACAGACCTCATGTGGATTTCCAATGTGGAGCTTTGGCTGTATGCAACATTGCAGATGCTGCACTTGTAGGGTTTGTTGTCTGTGTTGCTGTTGGTTTCTTGTGGAACAGGACTGGAGGCCTCCTGCAAAACCTTTTTCAACTTATGCAGGTGAGAAACTGAATTATAATGAACCAAGAGAATGTTCTTTTGGGTGAATGACTCTTTACACACTGTACATTTATAGGGACGAGATGGATCAAGGAATTTTTCCATTGTAAAATTGGGCCCTTTTCGAAAAGGTAAGGTCCGCTTTGGTTCAGAGCCCATGTCATCTGGAATAGAGCTACTATCACTTCCTACAGGACTTGCCTTCCCTTCGTGGTCCACCTCGTACTCTCTCTCCATTTCCTGTTCTAGGCCATGGTCGTCCTGCACCATAGTTTCACACTCTGCCCAAAGTTCACCGTTCACGGGCAAGGAGGTGTACAGCTGTTGAAGTTCAGCATCACTCAGTTCAGGGTGGCCTGCTTCCAAGTGTTTTTTTAAAGCCTGGAATGTACGGAAACTACGCTGGCAGAGGGTACACATTGTCGCGGCCCGAATCGCATGATACTGGGAATGGATCTGAAGCTTCTGCATAGTTTTAAAAGCCAAGCTACAATGGTTACAGCGATACTTATAAACATGGCGGTCAGAAACAGAGAGCGGTTGCCTTTTTTGCTGTTCGCTTAATTGATCTTGCAGTGTGTCAGGGATTTTCACATCCTTACTGCTATTTTTATTCCATTCCGACACTTCCAAGGGTTCTTTAGTTGGTTTCTGCTCCTCACTTTTTATTTCCATGCTGGCCTTTGAATCCTCAAGACCTGTCATACTTTTGTCATCCATCGGACTTTCACCTGTAAGGAGAAAGCACAAACATCTTTCTTAACAGGAAGAAAACCTACTACTTAAATGCCAATAAATATTGTAAATAGGCACCTCTAAAGGTTTCTGTTTCATTGATTCTTTGAAGAAATGTTCACTGAGCATCTACTATGTGGCAAGCACCAGACTAGAAAACAAGAAATCACCCCTGACCTCAAGAAATCTCAGGGTTAGGGAAAAGAACAAGTCAAAGGTAATTACAGTGTGCTGCAATCAGTGTGATATCAAAGGCCATGACCTGGATGTTTATGAATTAGAACACAGAATATTCCCAGCCTTCTAATACTTGGGTCCCTCAAGGACAGGTAGAGATAACTAGATTCTAAATATCCCTTAGAAAATATGGCTCTTGGAAATGTCATGCTCATTTTTCCCTCCACACATTAAAAAAAAAAAAAAATCTTACATGGGAATAGTCTTGGAGCACCAACACACACACAAGACCCTGAGTAAATATTCTCAGCCTTCTGATACTTGGGTCCCTCAAGGACAGGTAGAGATAACTAGATTCTAAATATCCCTTAGAAAATATGGCTCTTGGAAATGTCATGCTTATTTTTCCCTCTGCACATTAAAAAAAAAAATCTTACATGGGAATAGTCTTGGAGCACCAACACACACACAAGACCCTGAGTGTGTTTTCCACAGATCTTGCTCATACCTGAATACTTCCCAGCCCCCTCAGCTGTAATGGCTGCAGGTGTGTCCCGCTCTGATTTCTCAGAGGTGGCTGCTGGCAGTAGCATACTGTTTGGCATCATCACATCAGGGACAGGCACCTTTGAAAACCAAAGGGGTTCATGTTGAATGTACCAGAAATCACAAACTCCATCATGTCTCCCATTTGGCCATCGCATATCCTGCTTACATTTTTCCAACCAAAGCAGGGATATTTTGAGGGTGTTACAAACCAATGCTGTCCCTTCCAATTTCAGATCAATGCTGTTGCCATGTGGTATTCTTCTTTTCTTTTCTCTCTTCTTTTTTTCTTTTTTTAAAATTATGGTTCAAAGGTTTTTGTAGGTCTATTTTTTTTTTTAATAATGATAACCAGGAAAGTTTGAAACTCAAGGTGCCCACATAAGTCACTTGATTAACAGTACAGATATAAAAAGGAAGACTGCAAAATGTTATTAACTAAGGTAAGCTTTATATCATATTTTTTTCTAAGCAAAAGAGACCATAAATGGGCCTTGACTGTGATTTCTATAACACAGTCAAGAAAAGAGCTTTAAGTAGCTCAGAAAAAAATAAATTCCTCTCAACCAATAACTACAGGGTTTTTATTTATATCTTTACACAGATCATGTCACACATGCATCAACATTTGGTATCCTTACTGTCATGAGCAGCTTCTCCACACAATCTGGAGACACACTGTGCAAATGGGTCAGATGCAGCTGGAGGTGCATTTTGTTGCTGAGGACGTCCTGGCAGAGAGGACAGCAGATGACTGGCTGCACCGAGTGCTGTGACAGGACGTGCATCTGGATACGACTTTGGTCCCTACTATTGTAGTTACAATAAGGACAATGATAGAACTGGAAAATATTGAATAAACATGGCCACTATTAGTTAATGTATTTTGATGACTTCAGAACATCAGAAGTAATACTAAGCATTAATTATATCGCCAGTCGCAATGTCTACATACATTTCAACAGCATGGAACCATTTGAGGCTCTATTTTTTATTTTATTTTTATTTTTATTTTATTTTATTTTATTTTATTTTTTGTCCTTTTTAAGACCAGCCACACCGCACTCAGCCAGTGAGCACTGTGAACGCACCGGTCATCCCTATATAGGATCCAAACCCGCAGCGGGAGCGCTGCTGCGCTCCCAGCGCCACACTCTCCCGAGTGCACCATGGGCTCGGCCCCCATTTGAGGCTCTAAAACTCTCAGGAATGATTAAAATACAAGAGAGATTTATGCAGCAAAGGGAAAAATAACATATTTACCTGTTCGTGACAAAATTTATTGTCTTCAGTAGGTTTTGACCTTTTCGTTGCAACATCCTCTTCTTTTGCCAGCAGGGGTGCCTGGGTCCCTCCTGCCACACTGACTTTTAGCTCCTTCTCTGGTGTGATTATCCCTGATTCCATCTTCAGTAGGTTTTGACCTTTTCGTTGCAACATCCTCTTCTTTTGCCAGCAGGGGTTCCTGGGTCCCTCCTGCCACACTGACTTTTAGCTCCTTCTCTGGTGTGATTATCCCTGATTCCCCAAAAGAACAGAACAACACAATTTAAATAAACAATGTCAAAATCAGAAAAATTATGTCTTTCAAATAGTTGTCACTCTAAATCCACTGAATCACAAAAAGAATCAGACAGCACTTTTAAAGGATGCTAATCTCAGAAGGCAAAAAGCATACTTCCTTTTCCCACCACCTAAGTGGACTTTATAAATATATTTTAAAATGTACTCTCTGTCTCATATTTAGATAACCCTTGGTAGCCTTGAAAGATTCATCAATAACATGTGTTCTCTGGTGTCTCAGAATGCCTTTATCACATTAAAGCAAATCTACTCTCATTCACAAATACAACTTGGAAAACTATTATTTTCACTAATGTTTAGTTACCTATCTCTTTTCTAAAATTCTTGAGTGCTGAAAAGATTTCAAAATACTGAGAAGAGCTGATGAATTGTAATTTAGAAACTAAAATAATACCATTTTTATGTCACAAATGGATTTTAAAATTGAAAGGATTTAAAAATTAACCATACATTGCATATCTGCGGCTGCTACTACTGATTTACTCTTTGCTATACATGTTTTAGCAGTTGGCTATATACATAACATTACAGAACAAATCTCAAGAAGAAAATTGTCTTATGAGGTTAATCTGAATATTTGGTGTTAAAGACAATTTAAGATTTTGCCTAGATGAGCAGTGTAATGTGTAGGAGCCTCACACACATCAAAGAAAAGAGCACGATTCTAATTTCACAATTTAACAGAAAATTCTTTCCAGCATCAATTTGCCCGATAATCTCCTTTGCGAGGCTGGATATTAGAGCAACATTGGGTAGGCATGTCACATACATCTCACGACAAACACAAAACCTCATTTACCAGCCATTCCAATCTCATCATAGTGCGGCATCATCTGACCTTTTTTCTGCTGTTTATTATGAGTATTTCTAATTTTAACTTTCAATTTTCACCATCTTCCAGTCAATTTGCAACTAAATTATTTCCAGGGTGAGGACACTATCACTGGACAACTGGGTGCAAATACATCTTGAAATGCAATGAAGCTAAACCATTGATTGCTATCAGACCCCGCATAAATATATAGTCCAGGCGTAATCTGATTGTATGCTGTGCATGAAGATTTATCTTGATTTTTTTTCCAATCCACATACGGTTCATATAAATGAACAAACTGCACCTTACTGCAAAATAACCCAGTTTTAATTTAAAAATAAGGTCAAGGATGTTATGGAAACAAAGTAAAAATGAACCAAAAAATGCATTTTATTTCTACCCTGGATAAAGATGTATGTTTTATACCATATAAGTAATTTTAGACATTTCAAATTCAGAAAGAAACTTAACAGTAAGAATGCTTCTGGGGAGACCAAAGTTAAAATATATTTTAAAATTTAAATGACATAATTTAAATAATTTGATTCCCTTCAGATTTATGGTAGATATAGAATTAGTGCTGTTTTTAACAGATTACATTGATACTGATTTCTAGATTTATAAACACTAGATTTTATTTGAATTGGTACGTTTGTTCTTTATATACATATGCCTTGGATAAATTTAGATTTCTTTTCTAGATAGTTGAAAAATAATTTATAAATTTGAGATAGACTGAAAAGTTTCGTTACATTGATTAAGAAATATCTACACATTTGATATCCAAAGAGATGTCAAAAACTGCAATGTTTAAATTGTAACTAATTCTGGCATTAAAAACCATCTCAAATCAGAATATATTTTGTGCTATTGTTTTCAAAGTGTTAGAAACATTTAAGAAAACAATATGTGTTAGTATTTAAAAATTAAATTTACTACTTAAAGTGTCAGATCAAGTTGTATGAAATAATCATCATTTAAATCAGCAAATGTCTATTGTCTTCTCCTGTGCGATTTGTCTAAAAATTCCCCATTAATGAGTAAGAATATATTTCCTTAAGAAAATGATACTATGTAATACCCCCCTATCACTTTCTTTGTGTACAGGGTAGAATTGAACATGACCAAATAATAAGTTGATCCAATTCCCTATGCTATCAAAGACTGTCACACACAAGTTAAAAGAGAATTTTTATGATTCTTGCTGCTTGCAGGCCCTTTGGAGCATCAGAAATAGAAAAACCTTCCAGAAACTTCTAAATCTATTAAATGTTTAGCTATGGACTTATTTCCATAAGCATGTATAATGTGTATTTTATTCTAATAGTCACACCATAAAGGTTCAAAAAATATTTTACTAAGCCTATCCATTGGTGTGCATATTCGTCATAATTAATACTATGTGTATTAAGAATGTATCATTTCTATTTTTGATTTTCTTATTCATCAAAAATACAATTGCTTTTGAATTTAGTGATGTTCCGTGTTGCATCAAGAAAGTAAGAGTTAAATTTTAGGATCGTTATCACATATTCATTGCAATAACTGTTGGCTATAATATTCAATCCAATATATATGTCAACTTCAATATTTTTTGGCTAACTAACTTAGTTAAGCCATTATCTTAATTAATATAAGCTAGAAATCTCCTAAAGACGATTTTATTTTAAATTTAAAAAGTTATAAATAAAGACTAGACCACCTAACTTTAGCTAGGCACCCCAGAAATGCATGCCACTGATAAGAGGAAGCAGAGAATACTAACATGCAACATATGACAAAAACAGATTCTTGAGGATGAGGCAGGTCATCAGGACTATTTGTAAATATGATGGAAGCTACATTTTATGCATGGATGCCTTTTATACTCAAAAAGGTGCTATCTCAGATTTAATGTTATGATATCCCTGGTAAATCATAGGAAATCAACTCTAGGGTCTTTTTTCTGAATTGCATTATCCTAGGAATGCCTACTATTAAATAGGGTCAATTAATTTTAGGAAGGCTTTGATTAACTTTAGTGATTACTCATAGTTTATGTCTGCAACTTTATTTGAAGTAAAGCCTGTTTATTATCCTAGACCAAAAAATTTTTTTTGAAATGGGATCATAACTCATTTTGTGTTATTAAGGACACCACAATATTCTCAAACAATGTCATTTTAATACATTTTAACTAAAAAAAATGTAGTCTAATTACAAACAAGCACTGCCAAATAGATGAGCTAATGATTATCTGTCAGTTATGGGATTATTTAATTCGCATGAGATTGTTAATATAAAAATGACATAATTCATTTCAATTCAGATGCCGCCTACTTAATAATTTTCAATCCCTGAAATACAGAAGGTTGTAAAATGGTTTATGCTCATAGAAGTGAGAAAAATCCAGGAACACACATGTACTCAAAGCAAAACTTGCAGGAACAATAAAACAAATTACTGAATTATTATTTGAATCAATGTATTTGATACAGTTTGACTACAACAAAACTTAGATATAACAGAAGATGTTATTCAACCCTAAATAATTCTAAATTATAATTACCAGTATTCTTTCTAATGAGACTAGAATGAAAGGATAATTTTAATTTCAATAATGAAGGTTAATTTCCATCTTTCCTCATGTTTACTCCTTTATTAAAAAGGGGTCCCCTTAGCCATGGCAGAGACATATTACATTTTCAATGCAAATGTATTAATCTGGATAAACTCTATGTTAATTCTTGTACGGCACAGAGCTATAATTTGGATTACAATTAATCTAAAGTGGCACTAGATTTAAATGACAATATAAATGAGGCATTAGGAGGCTTTTCTATTATGAATGAATATTCAACAAATATAACTTGAATGCTGCCAATTCGCATTTTGAAAGCTCTACTACTACAGATTAATGCAGCCACAGAGCACAACAGCATACACAAACACAGTCTTCCCAACATGTGCTCATTTCTTCCTGTTTAAAAAATTATTTGTTAAAGTCAGGTTAACTGTTTTCTTATCTAACATATAAAGAGAGTGATTAATTAATACATTTGCTAGCATTTTTTTGTCATTTACAAATGACATAAGGAAAAACAATATACATATGTATGAGTGATTATTCAATTAGAATTATTTACAGGAAAAAAATCCATGTAATTTTTTTTAATTTAATAAGATTTCATTTAGAAAGCAGAAAACTTTGTTAAAAGTTTAAGTTAGTCATCAATCACAAGAACTGTCTTGAAGGCTGGGAGGTTTCAAAGCTAAATATTTGCATTTCAGCAATTGCTTTTCGTTGGTCCTTGCTTAAACCCCTGTTAATATACCTGAGGAAGCCTTTCTATGGGGATAAAATTTGTTTTAAATAACCACAATTATACAACGGTCTGTATCCTCTCATATGCCTGAGTCTTGTCTGGATGGTACAATTAGGCACCCAAGGAAGGACAATAACTCATCAGGACATTAGGGAAGGATTGAGCCCATTCCTTATGCAGAGCAGTAAACAGCACCAGTGGAGACAGAGGCCCTGCATCTGTGGTGTGTTCCAAGCGAGATTCTTTCCTCCATGGTAAGATTAGATCCATTTTGAAGGGATTCCCAGATTTCATCCTTTGCAAGGTATTAGATATTAGATATTTAAAACCTTGCATACTGTCACATACCTAAATACAGTCATGAGTCGCTTAACAGAGATACATTCTGAGAAATGCATGGTTAGTTGATTTTGTCATTGTGTGAACATCACAAAATGGTACTTGCACAAACCTAGATGGTATAGCCTATTACACACTTCGGCTATATGGTACAACCATTATAATCTTATGGGACCACTGTCGTATGGAAAGTCTGTCATTGACCCAAACATGGTTGTGTGGAAACTCAAGGGACAGTAATATGATATTTGTGCTTTTATACATTCTTTTGAAGAATGAGAGGAACATACTCTGCAATCTATTTTGGCACTACTGTGTGAAGGATGTCACTGAACACACACAGAGTCCTGCCCTCCCTGAATCAGTCAAGCAGCTAGTCTGTTTGAGGTCCATCATAGAGAGTGAATAAACTGACCACCTTGCTATTTCCAATCCTTTTCAAATGAGGTCTAGATGGTACCACCCTTCACGTTAACTGATTGCTTGTACTTCAAATTCCTTGTCAGCAACCTCAGGAGCTGGTTTACTCATATACAGCTATGGCATCTTTTTACATTTCTTTAGGCTCAGTACCAACCTTAGATCCTCTTTGTTTGAACCAAATTAGAATCATATGCTAGACACTATATCCTAGAAGCAAATTTCAATGGCGTTTTTCTCACTGGACTCCTGAAAGAAATTTAGCATTGAACGGTGTGGGGGAGAGAGCAGGGAGACTCTTCAAATAATTTTTGAAAGGAATGTAAAGCTTAGATGAGCAAGGACTGAATTACAAATATGGGATAATTCGAGTTTAAATAAACTTTTATGTAAAAATGATATTTTCTGCACAACCCAATGTCTTCATAGTGAATACAAGCCCTTTTATATGTGGCTGTCACTGGAATTCAAGCAAAAGATAGATGACTACCTGAAACTAATAGGCTTGAACCCATTTCAGCATTCTTCTGCTTCAATGTGTCTAACATAATAAAACTAGGTATAGCGTGCAGCAAAAGTAGCCAATGTAATATTCACTGCGACCATAGATTTCCATCTCATACATACAAAGCATGGATGAAGTCATATATTTGCCAAATCAAACACAGAAAAAGCCTTAGGTATCCACACCAGATGCTGGCCTAGGGTTTGTTTGTGCACAAGTAAATGTCATGACACGAAGGTTTGTTTTCAAAGACAGTAGCTTTCATTACTGGGATTTGTCTATTCTAGAAGATCAAAATTACCCAGCACCTAATCCCTTTTCAATGATATTTCCTCTTTCTTAGGCTGAATCATCTGTAAACTTTTTCACTGGATTTTGTTTGAAATGCCTCAAATAGATGCCCTTAAAAAGGGCAAATTCCTGAGTATAAGTTGTAAAAAAGCAAGGAAAAATAGCATTTATTTTTAGGGTTATGTGGTTGGGGGCGGGGGGGTTATGATTGAATGACAAAATTTGAGTGATATCTAATCCTGTGCTTATGAAAAATTAATATGCCATCAGAGGAATCACAAGTATAGCTAAGATTAATGAAAAGCGCTTAAAAAATTACAAGCACACAAACTGATTTGATTAAAAAATAATCTCACTGGTCGTCCTGTAATATTCTTCAACTTATCCACATCTATTCTGTCAGATGGTTATGATTAAAAATAGGTCAATGGGAGGCTACTGATAGAAATCACATGCAAAATGCGCATGCAATGAATAGTAGTGGGAATGTTCAGACAGTTCAGAATGAATAAAAGCTTTTAATAAGCTTCGCGGGGGGTGGGGGGTGAAGGAAGGGTTGATTGCAGGGAATGGGTGTGGGGAAATGAAAGGTGAAAGATTCTAGCATCTTACCAGAGTCTTTACTAGAGTTTTTGCCTTCACTGATGTCTCTCTCACTTGAGTCTTTCTCATCATCCTCAGCCACTGCTGTAGGCTTAATCACCCCTTCTGCATCCTCACTTTGTTCTTCTGTTAAGAAAGGCAGACCAGTCAGTAGCGTTGAACCCCTGCCCCCCCAAATGCACACTGAAATAAACTAGGGGACTACTTAACTTTATTTACAAATCATCTGCAGATATTCATATTCAAAAGAGAACAAAAATTTATGCAAAATTCTATATTAGAACATGCTGGTTGTACCAATGCAAATTTTTATCTAAAGGAACTTCTCTGTATCCATTGAGAGCATGTGTCTATACTAACCTAAAATAAATCATTTATAGTACAGTTTAAGCTGAAAAAGATTAAAAACTTGGGTGTAAGGAAATTCTGTAATTTCAATAGTAGAATCTTATAACAACATGGACCCACTGTTCCAAGGACTTCGATAGATGTCAGAATAAACCAGATTCCTAGAAAAAAATTCTTAGTGAAATAATGTGATACCAAGGGGTTAAGTATAAGACAGGTGTTACTCCTGCCTTCAGACCCCAGACCCCAGACCCCAGAATTCGTTGGAATTTTGTTAGAGTAAGATCTCAAAACTTCATTTGCATTAGGGATTTTTTGGTTTTCTATAGGGGGAGCTAAACAGGGCATAGGACATAACAAGGTACACTTCTTCTATGACAACAGCATCACCCCACACCTCATTCACAGGTTCACACCAGCTAGATTACATGGAAATCCTCACAGTAACTCAACCCTATTTAATTATTCTGTAAATCTTAGCTATGCCACTGCTGGTGGATTAATCTGTTTATGCAGTTAGCCTCGATGCTGGGGCTGTGTAGCACTAATCCGTGAAAGGCCCACTGTTCCCTTTCATCCTGTGATCATTTGTCTCTCACTGTGCTGATGTCACTTTTTAATGAATTTTTAGCAATCTGAGTAATGCCAGATAACCAGGCTCGCAACTCCCCACAGCATGGCATGCTGTTTTCATTGCAGCACAAAAAACAAAAATCATATTCCCCTGTTCAGGTAGGAATTACATAAATAAGGAGAAGAAGGCAAAATGGGATTTGAAGCACCAGGCTGCTCAATTTCATAAAATCTTTAATGACCATATAAATTAACCCTGGAAAGGCAAAAGGTCATCGACACACATTTGCATACACTCTTCTATTTGCTTTTGATAAGCAGAGCTTTTATGCAGAGAACATGATACAATTAACCCTTCAATAACCATACAAAATGCTGCTATGGACATTTTAAGTGTCAAGCATTAACTGAAAATTACACACTGAATAAAATTTTCATTGCAAATGCTATAGTGATTGAAAGGGGAAATCATGGCCCTCTCCACACCCCATGTTTTATTAATAATGTTCTGACAGAAGAATGAAATATCCACTGTCATATGTAGCAGCTGAGCACACTAAAAAAATTCTATTTAGTGCCTCACTTTCCAGCCATGTTCTGCAACTGCGTGTGCAGAAAAACAACAGAGGGGAGCAGTTCTGGACTCAGTAGGAAACTCCAGAAATCTAAAGGGAAAACACGGACATTTAATACATTTTGAAATAAAAGTTTGTTTCAGCTGTAAGTCCTCAAAAGCACCCTTCAAATCCATTTTTTCCGTTTTTCCACTTTGCTTCTACACAACAGCAGAGAAAAGGCTCTTGTTTAGATGGTCAGTTATTTGAGGGTTTGTAGGAAGCTTCCATTTCAGACAAATGCACATGAAAATTATACTTTAAGAAGAGAGAGAATCAACACTTTTTCTGGCTCTAGTCTGCTTTAACCCATTAGAGATGATCACTGATCAAACACGGGCCCCCTGCTCCCAGCACAAGGCCAGGCTGATGCGCATGGTGGCCAGTTGGGTTTGGGAGGCAGAGAACATGCTTGATTGGGCTGTGTCCCTTCCAAGTTCACACATGTGACATGATATCCAGTGTCGGCCAGCGACCTATGACAGCCCTTGGCAATTACTTTTCATCTCATCCTGGGGAAGGGATGCAAGACTTCTTTGAGTAGATTTACTGGACCTTTCCCCCCGGGGCTGGAAAATGAAGTGTCAGAGTGCTACTGAGTGTCCTTATCTTGAGGGGACATAAAATCGTAAGGGCTATCGCAACTCACATTAATAAAACATTGTGTGTCAGGAGAAGAAAAAGAAAATTATGAAGGCACTAAAAGAAAAGCTACAGTATAATCTGGGTCTCATCAGACAGATTTTGCAGGGTCCTCTTCTTCATTTTCTGGTATGTGTTTTAAATGTGAGAGAAATTCCCAGACATGTTCTTCTATACATCACTGTGGTGTCTGACCTCAGCCTGACCCTGGCAACAGTTTGAGAAATCTGAATGTGAACAAAGACTCTGTGTCAGCAGTGGGGAAAGACTGTGGGATAGACTCTCCCCATCAACTTAATCGCAAACAGCAGTTCTGAGGCCATAACTTTGCCCAGCTCCTCCAAGCCACAACTCATAACCTTTAGAGGTGGATTTGCCTGCAATTCCCTGCTTCTGTACTTTTTTTTCCCTCTCTCTTTTCGAATCTTCCTTTGAAGTAGGCAGGCAATTAGTTCTAATGCTTGAGCAATTCAGACCTGTTTTGTGGTTTAGAAGGCGAAAGCTGTTTATTACAGGTAGGCTCTTCGGAGCCATAAGAACTTTGCAAATTTTTAATCATGCAAAAAATAATCAAAAGGTAACTTATACACACTGTAAAGTTTCATGTAAGTCAGAATAGAAGGTCACTTTTATTCTCAAAGAGAGTTTTAGAAATAAATTTGACATTCTTATATAAATAGACCTTAAAGTCGAGTATTAATGTGAGGAAACCACTTTCTCTAGAAAACCTGTAGGTTAGGATTTGGGGTTAGGAGGAATGGCTCCATTCTAATTTTCAAGTACCACATTTCTTCAGTTGTAAAATGCCATAAAATGCAAGATGCTTTATAGGAAAAAAAATATATATATATATACACACACATATATAACAAATATACTAAAGAGACACAGAACTGAGGGAAATACATTACATAAATTTCTAAAATAAAGATGCTAAAGCAGTTTTCATTTGCATCAATAAATCTCTTCACTAATATATTACATGCAATAATAATAAAAGTATTATAGCATTTCTTAATACTTTGTATTCACAGCATATGCATTATTTTTTTTTTCTTTTTGTCTTTTTCTGTGTCCGGCAACGGATCGCAACCCTCAGTGTCGCCCCCGTACCGGACTGGGGACCGGCAACGG